GTGGTCATGTTTCAACATCCTTTCCATATTTGATGCATGCTTTACATACCACCACACTCGCTGTATGCTGCCGGCACACTTTCGGTACACACAACTTGTTCAGGCGCCAGATCAGGTTTGAGAGGTTGACACCATTCAACCCCATGGCTCGATGGATCGTCTAAGGCAAAGCGATCGATGTTGGATGAAGATTTCCATCCATCGCTGGCGGCAGTCTTTTCATGTGGTTTGACTGCAGTCTTGGAGAACTATTTTGCATGCATGTACTGTTCCTGTGCCCGTGAGCAGCGGCCTGAAAGGAAGAAAACACGAGCATGCACGAGCACACTTTGCGTGTTTAGAGTGTGAAGTGAGTCAGCTTATCGAACATTGCAACTGCATGTGTTGGAAACCTTTCGCAGATCATGGGAGAAAGCACGCTTCGACTCATTTGTTTCGTGCAATCTAGCCGGCATGACACCCATCCGCGTAAATGCCTGCCTTCACAGCCCATTTCATCCCCTTCAGCTTCTTGTGAGGCGGCATTCCGGACCTCAGCGGATGGCGATGATGAAGCAAGGAAATTCATGCTGCTTGGCCATGGATTGTGGGAAGCGGAGAGGCTGGCACAGATTATGTCAGATCTGATATTTCGACAACTCCCAGGTATGAAAAAAAGTAGAACACTCGATCCACCATAAGCTGCTTGCTGGTAGGGTGATAATTTTTCTTTTGCTGCGTGTCCCAGAGCTGTATAGCTCTAGTTGACTGCATCGAGTCAAATCCCCCTTGTCACATGAGGTAATCCCCGTGCAACTTCAAATAGTATGGTTCAAGGTCCACTCAAAACGGCCGGCGGGTGGTTCTCCATGATGAGAAGCAACAAAGAAACATTACAGTCTAACTCATGCATGGTTGATCACTCAAGAGCATCACTGTTGATAGTGAACAACCTCACCCAGAGAGACCATCTACCGCACGGCCAGCATTGAACTTCACTTTGGCCATCACTAACTTGAAGTCCCCGTTTTGTTCATCATCGGTCACGTCAATCTCTGGCTGTCCTTCCAGCCAGATGGCCTAGGCAAGTCGATCATCATGTCCCCAACATGTTGTTCTAGCATGGTTGCTGAAATCAAGTTCATGCATTAAACGTATTATCCATGGCCATTCGTGCAAGATGTACGAAGTTGAGAAATGCAAACCAGGGCACAAAAAGCAACCCAGCATTGTAAGAACACATCATGCGCTTGTTGTACTGCTCAGAGGGATCAGGGCCTTTGGCACGAAGGGGAAAGTAAGCAACCTGGGGCGAACCAACTAACTTCGTCCACTTGACCCCAACAGCCACCCGCGTCCAGTAGGGCATGACACTGACGTTCTTCAAGTTGTGCTCCGGCAAGTCGGCGTAGATGTATTCCTTGAGGGCATCGAACTCCAAGCTTTCCACTTTGTCAAGGTCGTTCAGGATCATATCTCTCATCCCGTCATCCTCCAACTCTGCGTCTGCCAAGCTTGGCCCCCTGCGAGCTCGTCCCTTTGCAGCGGCCCTCTTTGCTGCTGCCTTTTTCGCCGCCGCTTTTGGTTTTCTCTTTGCTGCTGCCGCCTTGGCGGCCCGCTTTGGCGCTGCCTTTGGCGCTTTTTCTGCCTTAGCCTTTGCCTTCGCTTCTGCCAACACGCTGGCCTTGGTCTTGGCCCTCTTGGCCGGGGGTTCCTCCTCCTCAACCTCATCCTCCTCACGTCCCTCCTCCTCCTCCTCATCCACAAGTCCAAGGTCCTCCTCCACAGGATCCTCAGGATCTTCAAAGAGTTTGCGCTTTGGTGAAGCAATGTCATCGACACGGCTCTCTTTGCTAGATTCCGCCACTGAGCGGCCGATTTCCCTTCGGGCACCCTCCATCTCCAATTCCACATCATCTTCTTCCTCATCATCGTCACACCTTTCATAAGCCAAGGTCGCTGGATCTTGGCTTTTTGAACACCGAGCCTGTCCCTTCATGGCAGAGCGGACTTTCATCCTAATCTTTGGCGACGCTTTGGGAGCAGCCTTCCTGCTTCCAGCTTTGGCCTTAGCAGCCGAGCTTTTGGCCTTTGCCTTGGCCTTTGCCTTGGCCACAGGCAGGTCAGCACCTTCTTCCTTGACCTCTTCCTCTTCTGGGGTGGCCTTGGCCTTGGACTTGGCCTTTCCCTTGGCTCTGCCCTTGGCCGCTGGAGCGCTAAGTGCAGCAGCTTCTGCAGCACTTGCTCCATCGGCAAGAGCTTCAGCAGCATCCTCCTTAGAGGATTTGTCCTGCGCCTTGCTCTTCCCTTTTGCTTTGGCCTTAGCCTTGCCTTTAGCCTCCCGGAGCTTGTCCTTGTCCTTCTTAAGGTTCTCCAAAGCCTCCTTCAATCTGAGTTGGTGCCTCCTGGTGAGTACCTCCAACAAAGCCATCGAGCAAAGAAAACACACAAATCAGTGGAAACAACATTCATGAAACTTGCGCGAATGGCCATGGTGTATACACGATCGCAAGCAATAGAGAGAGAGAGAGAAGGAGACGGTCACGAGAGAGGGCGAGCTGGCCCAGAAAAGAGAAAGATTGATCGAGAGATGGAATAAGGTCGGATGATGGAGAGAGGAAAAGGATTGTTTTCAGCATAGTTTTTCCTCATGTTCTTTCACAAAGATTCTCCAACATGCCATGACTCTGCTATCAATTGAGGAAACCCAAGCAGTTTAGCTTTCATATAATTATTCAGTTTACATTTATTCTTTCACACGTGACTGGCCTCTTTGTCGTCTGCACCCTCCGCTGGCTTCTCAGGAAGTTCAATCTCCTGCGAACCTTGGACCTGCGTGAGGTTGAAGAACTTCTCGGACTCTGAGATTGCAAGAGGCGTCTCGAACAATTCCTGAACCTGCGTCTCCACCCAATCCGCTCCATAGGCAAGTTGTTTACCTGACAGGTCATAGGTCGCATGAAGTCCCAACTACCCTGGAAAGTATGAATCATCAATTTTCATTGTTGCAAGCACATGAGTATATACAATAGTTGTTTCCTACCTGGATCAGTTTTCTCCTGCTTGACCTCCACCTCTTTCTTCTCGGGCTGGGCAGCTGCTGCCCTGGACCTTATGATCAATGTGGTTTTGTCACCACGAAGTGCAATGTACAGTAACATAACTTGTGTATGGTTCATGGAACGTAGCGCCAACCCCTTTTGGTCAAGATACGCAATTTCCGCTTTCTTGGCGGCAATCTTCGCAAGTAAGGCTTGGATAGCATCACACTTGCCTAGGTTCGAGGTCACGGCCGTTCACCCTGAGAAGCAGTCCCAAGCCTACACCCCCAGAACAAATAAATCATACATATTCAGAATCACTAATAAGGTGCACGATGTGGTTTTGCCACACTTTGGACATGCTTTCGAAGGTGGATTGGGCTGAACGTCACTGGGTGCTGTGACTTGTGCTGGGGCTTCTCCGGAAGGTGGTAAAGGCTCTTGAGGGACAAGAGCTGAGTCTTCAGCGGGCACAGCTGGCAATGGTTCAGCCCCAACATCATTCAACCATCTCTCAAAATCATTGAAGTCTTGCTGTGTCTCAGGATCTTCCTCCGCCCAGTCCTTCTCCTCTTCGAAGGACGGCATGTGCGCCAAGGGGGTTCTGGTCTCCATGTAGGTCCGAATGAAGTCCTTCCATGTTGACCCCTGGTTGTTTTGTTTGATTTTTCTTTGAACAAAAGCATTCAACCATTGAAGGATACATGACAGATGTGGCATATGGCCTATTCATGCATAGGCGCTCCTCCAACTCTGGCTGCAGTGTCAAGAGTAAAGGATGGAAACCAGTGTCCTGAATAGGGGCAGCAAAGTTCCAAGCTGTTTGTTTTGCACGCATTCCTATCTACACAGTACGTACTCACATGTATAAACTTTCAACTTGTAACCCAAAGAAAGGTTCCAACTGTTTCAACCCAGGCCTTCGTAACCTCCTTGTGGTTGACTCGCCTCTTGATGAACCCGCAGAGCTTCTTGAGCTCAACCGATGTTTGGTAGATAACCTTCGAGTTGACTTTCACATTCATGCCAGTAAAGAGCTTTTGTAGCTCCTGCTGAACTGGTTCCAAATGGAAAAGGTGGAAGGTTGGAGTGGTACAGAGTCTCGTCAACAGCGGCACGAGAACACACCTGTTCATCTTGGCATTCCCACGGCAAGGAATACACCATGTTTGACTTGAAGGGTGCTGAAGCAAGCGACCCGTTGCTGCCCGAGCCCTCACATCTGGGTCATTCGCCCATTCATCAGCAAGCCCTTCTACGTCCATAGCATTAGACTCACATTCCCGGTTTCGGGGCATCTCCCACAAGATCGTGTGCCGTATAGCACAATGCTAGGAACCAAAAAGCACTCCGGGAATCAAACACAACCTCCAATTTGCTTTGCTTGACTTTTGCTGCAGGACCATGCATTGGAAGTGGTCTAGCGAACACGCTGCCACGCGATTGCTGCGCTGAAAAAAATTGAGGGCCTGGCTGATCCAGGGCACCAGGTCAAAGTGCACGATCGCTTCCACATGAGCGGGCGGGCTATCATTGTTCTCACATACCGGAGGTTACGGAAATGATCTGGTGATTTGCATGAACCATGTAACATCCAGGATCTTGGACATGAAGTGGGCAAGTTGATAATGGAATGATGAGTCATCTTGCCAAAGATACTTGTCCAACAGTTGCATGGTCATGCTTGGTCCACACTTTGGAGGACCCCGGACCAGGAAGAGGCACCTGGAAACCCGATTGACAAGGTGTTTTTGCAATTACCAGGTATTTTGATGCCTGGTGTGTTTACCAGGTTTTTCCGGGTGCACGTGGGAAATACCAGGTTATCATTTCTCTACCTAAAAAAAAGTAGGTAGACGAAGCAGTAGGTATATTATATTATATTATAGCATATAATAATGTAAAATGTGTGTACTGCAAGTATAATGCCCCCAAAAAAAATACTGTGTGTTCAGTAGGATCTGTCCCATCAACTTGCGCCTTGACTTGGCCCAAGAGCTCCTCCTTTTCAAGATTCCGCCCGATGAAGACAAAGCGGTTCTCACGAGGTTCATCCTTTGCCCAACAATTGTCGCTGAAACCTCCAGAAAACCTCGGGCTGGCTGGGCAAAATGCTGATCAAAGGACTTTGGTTTGTTTGGACCTTCAACATAACAAAGTTAAGCGCAGCTAGAAAGCAACATGTGCACTCCCTGGAAGACAAACTTTTGGTCCATGCCCTTCACCGCCAGTACTCCTTTGTAGCGGAAGAGGTCCGTCCCCTTATTCTGAATGATGTCACTGATCCAGCTTTGCAACATGTTCACATTCAATTCTCCTTCGAACTTACAGCTGCAAGACGAGACCGTAAGGTCATGCTGGTGCTCACCATCGGTGTCCAGAAATTCGGGGTCCATCTTCAAAACGCGGTCAAGGCTAAAAGCATCCAAATTCAGAAGGCTCTTCGGGTCCACAGCACTGTTCTGGCAACGGAAGATGGGCGCCTCACTGTTGATGGCCTTAATCTTCGCCTCAATCCCATCCAGCTCTTCTGGTTCCACCAGATCGGTCTTGTTCAACAAGATACGATCGGCAAAGGCCACTTGCTCGACTGCCTCGTTCTCGACACCTTCGGGCTTCTCTTCTTCCAAGTGCTGAATGATGTGCTTGGCATCCACCACGGTGCAAATTCCATCAAGCTTGTACATGCGTTGGATCTCATCGTCCACAAAAAAGGTCTGTGCCACTGGTGCAGGGTCGGCCAGGCCGGTGGTCTCAATGATGACACCATCAAACTTGTCGATCTTCTTGTACAACCTCTTGAGAGCCACCACCAAATCTCCACGCACAGTGCAGCAAATGCAGCCATTCATCACTTCAATCATCTCTTCCTCCGCGGACTCCAAGAGTACCTTCTCATCGACCCCAACTTCGCCAAACTCATTCTCAATGATAGCAAACTTCATACCATGGTCGGGTGACTTGAGGATATGGTTGAGCAACGTGGTCTTCCCTGATCCCAGGAAGCCGGTCAGCACGCTGACTGGCACCCGTCGTTCTCGATCGCGTCGGGAGCTCATGGCGTCGTCGTTCGATGGGAGGTGGGATAGCTGGCTATGCTTGGAACCAAAACTTCACAGGAGAAGAGCCTCAGGTGTCACAGAACAGAGAAAATGCCTGGAAAGAAGCACATGGGACGACTGTTTGGAAAGAAAATGTTTGGAAACAGGAGCCAGACTGGACACCACCATCCACCTGCAAAGGACTCCAGCTCTCTCTAGCTCCTTGATGCACAACTGCTTTCACACATGGCCTATTTAGAGGTCATGCCACAGCTTGGAAATCACCTCTCCAAGTCCACTGCTCTTGGATGAGGCCATGGGCGGCCTCTTGGGGGCCGAACTTGTGGCTAAGGCTAGTCTTTGCAACCCTCCATGGGTCAAAAAGAACTTCCCATCCCGCCTGTGCTTGCACAGCTTCCGGCAGATTCTGCCTCAACCACCCGCAGATACCTCGCCACGCGTGGCAACGCGGTGCACCGCGGTGCCACGCGGTGCCGCGCGCAAGGAAAACGGGAGAACGTCGTGTGTTGCCAAAGGGCCTACAGAGGAAGGACAAAGGAAAGCAAGTGTTTTCAGGTGTTTCTTTTTCCAAAAAGAGCCACAAATCGGAGTAACAAGAAAAGAAACATCAGGTCCATTCGGTATGGGGAGCCGAACGAAAAGAAATGTCACAGGTACTTGCAGCCCTGGGGTCCAGCTGGAAAGATCCAAATCAAACATCCCCGCCATCTCCGACCAGTTGACGGTTCTAGATGTCGTGACCGCTCTAAAAGTTTAGACTTCTCAAGAAACCAAACCTCTGACCCCAAGAGCAAGAAGATAGCTTGGTATGATCGACAGAACATGCAGCAAAAACTCTCCTTTAATGTGTTTTTTTTTCTGATGTTCAGTCTTCATCGAAAATCAATACGCATCCAGGACATCAACGCAAAGCCAACAACACACCTCAACCAACAAAGACTCGCTGCTTCGCTGGCACCACCTGCCTCCATGGCTCCATCCCCAGTTCCACCGAATTGGCATAGAATCCAACGATATCTTTTTGGCAATAGAGGAGGTCTGTTTGGTACTCTATGCAGTCTATGCCTACATAGTATATATATATATATTGGATCTTTTTCCTTGTACACATACAACCACTAGTAAAAGGCCATCCACATTGGATGGTCCTGGGTTCGACGCAAAAGAATTCCTTTTATCCGGTCGAAGAAAAGCACCGAGGTGGAGCAGCCGTCCAAGCAGCTGGCGACTTCGTCCTTGCCGACGGGCTGGTCCGGCGAGTGGATCAGGGCCCGAGCGGCCGCCACATGGGCCTGCACAGCGACGGTCAGTCTGCGGCGCTGAAAAGCGGACTCTTCCGGTGGCACATCATGGTACATTCGACTCTTCCGGTGGCATGTAGACTCTTGATGACTCTTGATGCTATATATGACATGGGGAGTATGACATGGGGAGTTGTGGACATGGATTGTAAAACCCCGTTAACTATGTTTTTCATCAAGCGTCTACATGAGTCATCCTAGTGTACAGACTCCCCTGGTCACTTGTTTTGAGAAAACACCAGGCATCTGAGTGCTTCCCTTATTCTTTGCGTGCCATGTCAGAGTGGTAGAGCCTTCTCAAACCTACCCTCTGGTGCTGCTAGTTCACGAGCCGGGAGAACTTCCAATGGTATGGGAAATCAATGAACTGACCAGGTTCATGGTGGAACTCCAATTTGGAACAGTAGAGTCAGTAGAGAGAGAGAGAGAGACTCCAACAGTAGAGTCAGTAGTAGAGATATATATATATATATAACAGCTCAATCTCCAGCACACCAATACACATATAATCATATATATATATAAGACAAGCAGAAGGTCTTTCACCAACAAAAGCATGGACTTATCATATCAATCATATCTCGTGAACCGCAAGACCACATCTTGACACTCGAGCTGCCATACTTAAGAATGGGACCCTCTGCCGAACTGTTGAGAATGCTACTTCAGGTCGCTGGAGCTTCAGGTCGCGTGGTGGCCCACAAATCCAACTGTCTCCGGCTGGATCTCCCCAGGCTCTAATCCATCTCTTGATTGCTCACCCAATCACAATCACAAAAACATCTCACTCGTTCACCTCACAGACTCACGGACTGCATCGGAAACATCGACCCCCTCTCCATAGAGGGAGACCCCACCTGTAAGGCCTCCTCCTCGACATCATCCATCCCAAGGATCGCTTCTAATGCCGTGTCGTCATCCGAATCCTTCACCTTGCGGGAAGCGACATGCTATGGCCATAGTCTTTCTTTGGTGCTTTGCAAGATATGCAAGGCGTAATATGAGATCTTGAAAGGTGGTTAGTGGTGACCCACTTTTTCGGACCTGAGCCTGGTTGGCACATGGTTGATGCTTGGCCGGGCCGTACAGGTTATGAGACACATTCGTCTGCTCCGCGCGTCCGAGCTTGCGGTCCCGTCCGCACCAATGCGTCCGGAAGACTGGCCCGACCGATGCTTCATGTTGCTTCTCTTAAGTCTCAGTGCAAACAAAAGGGAAGGAACAGGTAACAGGCAGCTTGAGGGTACTCAAGCAGCAGGCTCGCGAGTTGGTTGGATTCGGTCGACGGGCGATCGATTCGGCCGTACGCGGGGTAGCAGAGCCGTCTCGTACGCGTAGCCTTGGGGTCAGCACCATGCATCAGCAAAGAGGTGATGACCAGAAAAAGCCTCGCGTCACTGGGCTCTCCCAAGCAAAAACGGGACGAAGAAGGTCGGGTGAAATTGGTATGGCCCAAGCGAAGAAGCCTGTCGCTCCACACCCCGGGGTAGCTCTTCGAGTCCAAACCGCTCCAAGATGGTGCTGCTGCGCAGGGTGCAAGCGAGCAGCTTTCCCCCCCCAAATAAAATCGTCTTGGGCCTTCAGATCCTCAAAAATGTCGATTCCGATTCCCCAATCATCTCCCGTATTCCCATCTTGGCTCCCCAAATCCGACCTCAAGGTTCGTGTTTGCATCGGATCCAAGGATGGGGACCCAAGATGGGAACCCTTGAAAAAGCATCCAACAATCACCACCTATCCAGGCATGAAAAAAACCACTGAACCTTGGTGTCGAATCAAGCCAGGCTTCCAATCTGATAATATCTCAAGATCTCAAGTGTGGGCTCGGTCCTTGAACATCCTTGAACCTTGGAACATGTCTTCACCGTTTCAGCATGTTTCAGCCGGAGGAACTGTTGGGGATCGGTGGATTCGTTCAGGCAGGCGTAGTGCAACGCGGGCATTCCGTCGTCCGTCTCACTCAGGTCGACGCCGGACCTCGAGCAATCGACGGGGGGCACAGCGAAACGAGCGTCCGTTGATCCGAGCTTCGCAGTGGAAGGACACCAAAGGAGTTCCAGTACTAGTTCCATTCCATCTCACTGCCAAAGGTGCTGGGTTTCTGGGCTCACAAACCAACCATTCCAACTGCCAAATCGTGCTTAATTCCTCGGTCCCATCGCCCTAACGCTCGGTCCCCTCATTCACAGGAAAACGCCATCCGTCATCGTTCCATCCGGGATGTAATCGGCCGATTCACTCCCCTCAGAACCCTATTTAAAGAAGAAAACTGCAAAAAAATGATGAAAAATAAACATCCGCAATAGGAGCACATCGGTTCTGAGCTTGTCATGCTCAGGTGAATCGTTCAGCGGAAAAATGCGAAGCGGCTTCCCCTGGCAGCTTGAACAGGTCCCGGTGTACCCCATCTTTTGACCTAATATTAACAAGAGGACGCTACTAGGGGCTCCTGGCATCGCTACTAGGAGCATTCTTACTACTATAGTAACAATAAAGCTACTATTCTTCCTTGGAAGTCCATTCAACCATGTTTCAAACGCTTGATCTCGTGTTGTAGTGTAAAGGATTCAGGCTGTTAGATCAATGCTGGTTGGAATCCTAGGGTCTTGATAAACTGATAAACAAAATCACTTCATCGATCGATGCTATTGATGAGCTTTCACCTGATACCAATAACTGATATCAGTGATAACCTACATCCTTCTTTGCTGCATCCCAGATTGGTACCATACTGTAGCTTGTCGCCATGAATTAAGAATCGCGACTCTCCTTCTCCAGCAGGGTAGGTAGAAACGGCACCTATCTTTCTGAGACACATGTGCCATCAACCAAGCATTGATCAATTCCGCGGATGGCTGGGTGACCCAAACTTGAGCAAGTTGGTCACCACAGAGAGTTCCAGCGGAGTGTCCTGGATGTAGGCTCCCTGAAGCGCCATTCCCGCACACATCGCATGAGAAAAAACAGTCTTGTGAGCCTTGAGAATTGCGAACCTCGTGGCAGCTTGCGAACCTCGGCTCAGCGATCGTTTCAACATCGACTCGATGCATCTCCGCCTGAAGATATTCCAGTAGGCTCTCGCCCGTGTTCATGGCGGCCGGGTGAAAGTTCTGGTATGCCATCACGGCGTTTGATTAGATTGATGAGTGAGGAAACGCCAAGATTCATTGGCTGCCCTGCACACTTTGAAGATCTGGGTTATATCCCTTGCATAAGAAATGCCATTGCCATCATCCCCAAGAATTGCCCAATGTTTGAACACTTCACTGCGCTGCCTGGCCATGCTGGCCATTGGCCTCCAACTTTACCCTTCCAAAAACATTTACTTGCAATCACTCGAACCGGTAGATTTATAGAGATTAGAAGAACATGGGACACTCCCAGGAAATTTGACCTATTATGTAGGAATATGTTCCATCTGCATATGCTAGCCAATCTCTCAGATTTAGCAACAGTGGTGAGCTAAATTCCTGGCTAACTGGGACCATCTGTCCATAGCGCACCTGGCGCCAATGGATTTCTTGAGCATCAAAATGGCGGCGGAGTCACTGTGGCCGAGACGCTCCACCTGTGATCCAGGGAACAACTTCCGAGTTTCTGTCCAAGTCCACATGCAATAGTATGCAATAGTAACTATATGTAACTATTACTGCCCCTCATCTTAGCTTACCTTCGGCCATCATTTTTGGGTCATCTTGGATCAGCTCTCAAACAAGAAGTGAACTACCAAAAAAAAATGGTTTCAGCATGCGCTTTGGATGTTTTGGGGGTCATGTCCAGCCTGGAGATTGGCCAATGTTGGAAGACCGTCTCTCCTGGAGAACCTCTAAATTCTATATCTATCCCAAAACCGGCCACCGGATCATACTACAACAAGTCCTCCGCTACAGGTTCACGGTCGGTCGGACGACTCGTCGACCACGACGGCCACCACCGGCTCGGGTCCCGAGCAGCAGCTCCCCAGCATCAATCCGCTCGAGCGCCCGCGCGCAGAAGCCCTGACCGCGCAGGTCACGTCGTCACGCGAGGCGCGCGCGCGACCGTGACGCCGGGGCGGGGCAGTCGGGGCGGGGGCGGTTTTCGGGGCGCCTCGCGTTCACGTGCGAGGTCGGGGCACGCAGCGGTGGTGTTTGAGGCTGAAGCGTAAATAAGATGACCTGACAATGGGCAATGCTCAAAACATCTCACAAGCTGTACAAAAGAGATCCAAAGGGAACTCTTTGGTCGAAGACATCCAAACAAAACCAGGGCTCCCTCCCAAAAATCGGGCCCCAATGAATCCAATATAATCCAATGATCGTCTCAACATTTCGCAACAACAAGTCTGCCAGTTTTCCAAAACCTGCGAGAAGCTTGTGAAAAAAAGAAGCTCTAAAAAAGAACACTCACCTCACTTCACTTCTTCCAATTTGGGGTTCGATGTGTGACCACTCTTGGGATTCTCCGGCCATCCCCTCCACCTGGCTCGGTGGAAGGGATTTGGCGAAGAAGTCCACCTGGCTCGGTGCCAAGCCGGTGGAAGACGCTGCCACCACGTGGCCAAGCCGGCACGCTCAGGCCAGACACCCTTTCGTGGGTGTCAAAAGCAAACGACTTTCATGACATTCCACGATGTTGGATACGATACACATGGAATATGTGTGCTGTTCAACGTGACATGGCATGACAATCTTATATATGTTCTACATTGTTCTACTAATGATTCTTGGTTGAAAGAAAGCTAACTAAAGGTCTATACGAAGATTTGTTGGTCTCGAAGAACTACAACATCTATAGCCCGAAAGCATGGCTTCTGGGAGGTGGCTTCAAACCGATTCACGATGTCCACACATGAAATCCTGCCAAATCCAATGAGCTGAGCTGTCCGAACCACGCAATGGTTTTTAAAATCATCCACCACTTCATCCACCATGTTTGTGTGTGTTTTCTCCACACCACCTGTCTGCATGGCTTCTTCGCTCAGCAGAAAGCCATGCTTCGCGCCTTGGACGAGGTGGTGATTCCATGCTGCTGGGCCCATGGAGCCATCCCCTGAAGCGCTGCCCATACCGCGACCGACGAGGAACCTGTGGATGTAAGTGGATTGACTCTCTGCAGTGAAAAGCTATTGGAGCACCAGCGATCCACATGGTTCCCAAATCTCCTTGTTCTGTTGGCTTATTGGACCCCAAAAGGTCGAACCATTGATGAAGTGGCAGTGAGGGTGATGGTATATACAAGATGCTTCTTTTGGTTTTGAGACATAAGGAGAAACACTAAGAAATCACAATGAATCACTAAGATCACTTGTGCAAGATCGTTTTGGATGTCTTGGGATGTCTTCTCTCAAAGGTCTGCCTTTGGAGAGTCTTTGGAACGAACCGCCGCAAGTAGCTATCCTACAAATTGTCCGTGCATCCGGAGAGCGACATGTTGAGTCGCCAGAGTTCCTTTCAACAGAGGATGGAGAGTCGCCCCAGAATGCCCCAGAAACCACTCCAAGATGTTGCAACGTGTGTTGCAACGAGATTCTCTGTCGTGAAACAACTCCAACTTCCGGACCTGGCGACCTGGCGAGTAGCTTGTCTTGAAAGCATAGTGTCATATTGTGGCTACCCTGCCAGGGGATTCGTGAGTTCGCCTCGCCATGAATGGAACTCGCCACTGGAAGCCAGGCATCCTGGGCGACTCTCAACTGTCCGAACGGTCCAACATTTCCGGAATGGGTTTAAGGGAAAGTCTACTGGACCAACCATGGTTTTCACCTTCGAATCTATGGGGGGTCCTTTAGATTTTCCCTTAAACCAACTCTGGGAAAATTGTCTGTGAGCTTACCCTGGACACGTCCGTCCAACTACAATGTCTCCATATACCATTCATAAACGTCTTTCCACGATACCCTTTCTAAAACCAGACAGCCTTGATCATCTGCATGAGATGAGTATATAGTAATTAGGTTGGAGACAAGCGATCTTTGCCATCGATCTCCCTCAAGAAGCTTGCCCCAAGCCTTGTGAAAGTAAGTTTGTAGATGTTTGTAGTAGCTCTTCATTGGTATGCACGCCAGCTTGCTAGCTATTAAAGGGACCTAGCCGCTGTTTGGCCATGCCATGCTTCATGTTGAACATGATTCATCGGTTCTTTGCACACATTCTCACCCAAAGAAATGCCCGGTCGTCCCACTGGCCCAAGATCGCTGCGAAACGCGATAAAATCTTCGTCGCGCCCCGCCTCCGCCAGGCTCATCTCGGCCGCACACCGAAGCTTGCGATGCTCCACGCCATGGTGGATGTGGTTTGTAGGTGATTCTGCCGTCAAATCCAGACACCGTCTGTTCCTCTGAAGTCATTTAAGACCTGCATTTGGCTTCATTCAGAGATCAAGGTAGGCATACACGGAGTGTTTGGGGAAACGGATGTGTGTTTCATGTACCAACTACACCAGCCTGGTATGATCCATGCCGCCCTGCGTTTGGGCTGCCCAATGGAAACTGCGTCGGTTGGTGACCCATGGGATGGTTCTGGCATGTTGACTGCAAAGGACACACAGCCGCTGCTTTGCAAGGCAAGAACTGACTGAGAGTGCTTAAGTCAAATCGTGGAGCTCCTGCTGTTTCGATTGCTAAAGCATGCTAAAGCAGTACGAACAAATGTCTCTCGCACTGCCTAGTCTATGGCACTGTTGAGTTGAGGCCGCCATCAGCCTGTGACTTCGACCTGTGGACGTCGTGCCACAGACCTTCCTGAGCCTTCGTGTCTGTGTTGACAGCCACTCACATGTCAATTCAATTTGTTGATTCATAAAATCTCCCAGTGCTGGATATGTCAAACATTGTCAAACCATTCTTATGATTTTTGTTACGAATCAAAAGTCAACATTAGATCGATCAAGCTTCAGAACCAGCTGTGTCTCTTTTTTTCCTTCTGTCTGGCTTCATCTCCTTGCGCATTCCGACCCGCTCGCTGGAACATCGTGCTCAGCGCTCCTAGACTTCCAGCTCCACCACTCCATGCGTGGCCTCCTCCTCCTCCTCATGCCACTGGGGTAGGCGGGTGCACTCTGAGGGATGCACCACCAAAGGTTTCCACTTCTGTCGGGCAGCTTCGTCCATCTTCATCCACTCCTGTTCAAGTGTTCGACACCCGATGAACCCGCCGCGACCATCCGCGGGGTGGTCCACGGGGGGTGTCCGCTCTTTTTTTAGTGTCGGAAAACCTGGAACTCAGGAGATGCTGTCGGAGGCAGGAGTTTTTCGGTCTATGTGTTGCTGTCTTTAGAAGCACTGGTGTGTATTTGAAGGGTTTCATGGATCCATTCTTTGAAAATATTCTCCAAGGAGTCTCTCGAAAAACAGTCCGATGCTCCTCAGCAGCTTGACTCAACACTTGGCAAAAGCTCCTCTACACACAACCGCTCAAAAAGAACACTCCGCACAAAAGCACACCCACTTCTTATCCTCACCGCCCGCTCTCTACTCCGCTGCACCGTTTCAGCGCCCACCTGAGCCTCTGCAAGCTCTGCCTGAAGCGCTTGATCTTCTGAAGCGGTCGGTCGTGGGCATTGGTAAGGAAAGGCTCGGTGAAGCCAGTGCCTCCGTTAGCGCGGTGAGCCACGGGTTCGTACGACCCGCATTTTTTAAGGTCGGTGATGAGTGAGGAGTGAAGCAGAAGCCGACGACCGGAAGGTCTTCCGAAAGTAGGCTTTGAGGGTCAAAGTTTGAATCACACTAGTCTGAAATTCCTGAATGCAGACTAAGTCAAGTCAATTGGAGAGATGCTTGATCAATCTTGATCAATCTTCATCACAAGCTAATGTCTTCCTGTGTTGAAGTGCTTGTCCCAATGAGAATCACAGGCAAAACTGGGAACGTTCCATTGATGAACTTGGACCAACCCTGTGGCAAGTACTTGACTTGAGAGAAAGCATCATCATCATCATCACCACCGCCACCATCATCATCATCATCATCCACCAGCTTTATGTACTGGCTCCACGGTCAAGCAAACATCAGAGCCCGCAAAAATGCTCGGTGATCTGTGATAAAACAAGAAGGTCCTCTTGGACGGGACAGCAACTATTTCACACTTTCCATAGTTTGGGACAACAATTAACACCACCTATACTAAGCAAAATTGAGCACATG